ATATATATATATATATATATATATATATATATATATATAAAACATTTAAAACCCCCTGGTGCATTCTCGGCTAATTTAAAATCCTAATAAATACAATAATTTAGCAATTAAAATAAGTTTTAAATAAAAAGGTCTTAGCCTGGTGCCGAAAAACAAATAATGACGGCGCCAGGTGGACCTCTCTAGGGAGCGCATTCCATAGATGGGGTGCCACCGTAGAGAAAGCCCTCCTCCGGGTACTCACCCTCCTAATATCATTCACAGAGGGTTCCCGGAGAAGGGCATCCATTGCTGATCTCAATGGGCGGGAGGGCATATATGGGCGCAAGCGTTCCTTTAGATATCCAGGTCCCAAATGGTTTAGGGCTTTATAGGTCATAACCAACACCTTGAATTGGGCCCGGACTTCAATCAGGAGCCAGTGGAGCTGACGGAGAACTGGGGTTATATGAGAACAACACCCAGTCCCCGTCAGCAACCTGGCAGCTCTATTCTGCACCAATTGAAGTATCCAGACTGTCTTCAAGGGTAGCCCCACGTAGAGCGCGTTACAGAAATCTAATCGGGAAGTTACCAGTGTGTGTGTCACTGTTGCCAGGCAGTTGTTCTCCAGGAAGGGACACAGCTGATGGATCAGCCGAAGCTGAAGGAAGGCGCTCCTTGCCACCACTGTCACCTGAGCTTCTAGAGACAGCTCAGGGTCGAGGAGCACTCCCAAGCTGCGAACCCTGTCCCTCAGAGGGAGTGCAAACCCATTTAGGACAAGGCCCAAGTCCCCTGTCCCGGGGCCTGAGCCACCCACCAACAGGACCTCCGTCTTGTCTGAACTGAGCTTCAGTTTATTGGCCCTCATCCAGCCCATTACCTCGGCCAGGCACCGGTTCAGCACAGCCACTGCCTCACCTGGATTGGTGGAAAATGAGAAGTAGAGCTGGGTATCATCAGCGTACTGATGATTCTGCAGCCCACACCTCCTGATGACCTCTCCCAGCGGTTTCATGTAGATGTTAAATAGCAGAGGGGACAAAATGGACCCCTGCGGAACTCCATGGCATAACTGCCATGGCGCAGAGCCATAGTCCCCCAGCACCACCTTCTGAAATCGGCCGTTGAGATAGGAGCGGAACCACCGCCACGCGGTGCCTCCAACTCCCAATCCCGCTAGCCTATTCAGAAGGATACCATGGTCAATGGCATCGAAAGCCACTGAGAGGTCCAGGAGAACTAACAGGGACGCACTCCCCCTGTCTCTCTCCCTGCACAGGTCATCGTACAGGGCGACCAAGGCAGATTCAGTGCCATACCCGGGTCTAAAGCCAGAATGAAATGGGTCCAGATAATCAGTTTCATCCAAGAGTGCTTGGAGTTGTCCTGCCACCACCCGCTCTAGCACCTTGCCCAGAAACGGGATGTTGGTCACCGGTCTATAATTGGCGGCCACCTCTGAATCCAGGGATGCCTTTTTTAGGACTGGCCGGACTACCGCCTCCTTTAAAGGGGCAGGTACCCGGCCGTCTCTTAAAGAGGCGTTGACCACCTCCAGGATCCAGGTCCCAATCCCGTCCTTGGCTTTCTTAAGTAGCCAAGATGGGCATGGGTCTAGTAAGCAAGTGGTAGGGCGTACTTGTCCAAGCACCTTGTCCATATCATCAGGCCACAACAACTGAAATTCATACATTAATTGTGGAGTTCAAACACAAACATCCAGACCGATTTCAGCAAGCGCCAAGGCTGAGCACCCAATACAGGTAAGCAAGGGAAAGAAAACACATGCTGTAGTACAATGTGCAAAAACTGCACGTCTCCCATGTCTTTCTACTCTTTGACATGTGTGAATGCTGAATCTTGACTGAACTGTATTACTTCAACAACCTTGTCTCGCAATAGTGAAGAGCACACTCCTCCACACAGAAGGCACTTCTCTGTTAGAATACTGTTCCAGCTGTTACTACCAAAACTACCTTTCTTTCCTTAGTGTACCTTTCCATTCAAATGACTAAGAGGCTTGGCCTCATCCATATGGTACTCTCAAGTAACCATGGAGCAAGTTGCTACAGAACACCACTCGCCACTGTGCAAAGTGAAAGTAACATCCCTGCACAATTTCTTAGTTCGCTCCATCTATACTAGGGACTTAGTTTCAATGCCTTCTGTGATTTGCATGCTGCAGCCTGAAGTTAATTACATGAATGAAACAAGTTATTATGGTTTACCAAATTACATATTAAGGAGCAATTTTTTGAATTAATTACTGATATTTTGGAGTCATC